ACAAAATGATTAATTATGACGATTAGTAAATAGGTTGACGATGATAAAGTAGAACATTGCCTCATTAGAAAAAAAAACATCAACATCATTACATCCCGTCACAGACCCACCGCTGAACATAGGCCTTCCCTTAGAGGTGCCGCAAAGCACAAGGAACAACATATGCTACGAAATTCAAAATTAAAGTCAAGTTAAGAAAATAAAAACAATATTTTTTTTTAAGTTTTCCCGTACTAGCACTATTTCCTATATCGTGCATGCAGTATACACACATACATTTCACATGGACAAACATCCAAACCTGGACCTTTGTAGGCCATACTACTACTTGTTCCTTGCGGGATTCGAACCCGCGGCCATCAGCGCTGCAACTCGATGTCAAGCCACTGCGCCACGAAGCTGAATTATTTTCACATAGTAATTTTTGAAGTCGGGGCTTTTAATTCTTTTACATACTATCTCTTACCACTACCTTTAGTAGTTATGTGATAATTACTTCATTATTTTTTAAGTTATTGCATAGCTTCTATCGCGGGCCTTGAGTGCGGAAAATCCAGAAATTTCGTAACGAAAAAACCTCACGCTCTCCGACGGGCACGGAGGTGTGGCTTGAAGACCGTGCATTGTCTAACAATGGTCTAACGTCGTTTCTTTTCCTCAGTCTTCGACACGGTGTTTGTGTATAAAGTGTTTTGAAATTTTGAATATGAATGAACAAAGTGCATTTATTATTAATGAAGAAAGTCACGAAAAAATAGTGAAAGAAAATGAGTGAGTACTCTATATACATACCTACATTTTATTATTATCACAAATGCAGTACTAATTTTGAATTGAAAACATAATACTGCTATAAAGATAACCTAAATTTTTGATATTAAAATGAGCGATATTAAAAGTAGCCCTCTTTATATACACACAAACACACACACGCGTATAGTTTAAATTCTCAATTTAGATTCTCAATATGTATATATATATATATATCTCGATTAACCGGACTAATTGTTGCCGTTAGGGATTCGGATAATCGAAAATCCGGATGATCGAATGTACGAAGAAAAGCGGGTTTTGTGCATTTGTAGTACATATGTACATACATAATGTTATGTGTTTATTAAAAACAACAATTTCAACGAAAATCAATGTTTATTAGGAAATTATTATTTTTTAATAAACATTGATTAAATTCCATGAAGAGATATAAATCTATATAACCATCCGTTACTTGCGACAAACGAGCCGCCGTCACCTAATTTTTTATTTAACTGTAATGCTTTTTCACAAAGCAAAGGGGCAGATATCATTTGCCCAGTTGATCGTTTTTGTAAAAACCAACAATACAAAGCGTCTTCTAATTGCCAATTTACTCGCGGACATAGGTCCTTATGTCCAGGACGGGGGTTTGTTAGCGCCTGATAGTAGATCGTCTTATCTCAAGCGGTGTGAAGCGACGATTAGTGAGGTGCGGGAGGGGGAGGCTAGCTGCATTTGTGCGCGCGGTCGGTCACCCCTGTTGGCATCGAGCCGAGCTAGGGAGCAGACGGCGGGGCCGGGCTGCACCCGGCCCGCCGCTAGGCTGCGCTCCTAGCTAGGCACGCGGCGCCTGCGCCGATGACGTTCTCCGGTCGCATTATAGGGGTCGCGAGAGTTTTTGCGCGAAGCCGGGTTGTTCATATATTGAAAGTCTCCTTGTTTTGTCTTAGACTTACGTTAATAGAGCGTGCCATTTGAATTTAAAGACAATTAATTGGACAATAAATAATAAGTGACAAATCTTGCCGTGGAGCGTGGAACTGATTAGTTGCGCGTCTTGTTAATATAATTGCCGTACGGCCGCCCTAACGTTCGGTTAAATCTGGTTGAATTTGATTGGATTAACCTAATGACAATTGACTTAACTATAATTAATGAGTGATAAACGAGCGTAATTTCCTAGACTCTGAAGTTTCTGTGACGGCTTGCCCCTTCGATGGATCCCATACTGGAATAGAGGTGAAGCCTTGGGATCTGCTGTTCGGCAACCAGCGGGAAGTCAGGTTACATAATATAACACGTACTGAGCATAACACTATCACACACATATACTTACACCTGAATCTTCCTTGGTTTGACCCTACGTCGACGAAATAGGTAAGTCTTGTTTGGTTCCTTTTTAACCCCTATTGTCTCATATTCCACAAGCCATTTAGGCCGACCTCCTGTTACTCGTCGAGTTGAACCCCTGGTGGGCCCGGGTTCTACGACCTTTGCCCGGGTAACTAGAGGCCGTAACAATAGCAGAGTAAAAAATTAGAGATTGTGGTGTTTGAAATTTGTCATCTATGAGAGTGAATTTTACCTGTGTACTCTGTAACAAATAACTATATAGAAAAAAATATGAAAATGACATATCGCCATTTTTTTTTTGTGTACTGGTTAGGAACTCGATCAAAAATTTGATCATTTTTCTGTTTTTATACGTTATTTCTAAAAAAATCTGAAAATGATATTTCGCCATTTTTGTTTGTGTACTGGTTAGGAACTCGATCAAAAATTTGATAATTTTTCTGTTTTTATACGTTATTTCTAATGTTATTTTACATCAAATTAATTGTGAAGATATTTTCTTTAGGAAATATGTTTCATTACGACGATTCAAAAACGTTTACATATAATAATTTACCTCGAAATTCACTATACGCGATTATCGTTTATTGATTATATGTTGTTTAAAAAGTATTCTTATCAGTTTTTTTTGTGTTAAATGGATGCTATGGTTTTCTAATAGCATCTTCCAGTGAAGGTCCCGCCAAAATAGATCCAGCTGTTTCGGAGATTAGCTGGAACAAACAGACAGACAGACGCGACAGACGGACAAAAAATTTAAAAATTGTGTTTTTGTTACTAGTACTTTCATATGCATTTAATAAAAAGCTGTTATTTTAACATTACAAACAGACACTTCAATTTTATTTATTTGTAGATATAGATATAAGATATTATTCATATTGGTGTCATTTTAAAGGGAATATCATGTACTATTATAATAATAAAATAATTGACAGGACTATGACACTTGATGTCTTTATCTTGAATTTGATTGCTCAAAAACACGATAGTATAATTTTGACTCGATCATAATTATTTGCGAAAACACCTCTAAAAAACCACTATAGTTGAAATTACAACGAAATTACTTAATCTATATGCTTCGAAATCACTCAAATATATTCATAACATTAATATTCATAATTTACTTGCTCATTATTTTGATTACTCAAAACAATAATTTTTACAAAAATATTTTAAAGTTTCTGAGAATTTCTAAGCGCTTTTAATCGTCGCGGGCGCTACGCTATTTTAGACCTTATGAGGGCGTTTTTTCAAGTTTTTATAGAAACTATGCATTCACTCGGATCAGTCCGGCGATAGCCCTTTCGAGGTGTCGTCTTAACGCAATTCCTTTGTATAGTGCGACGTTGCCACTCTTATTAGTTATTCCGCTTCGTAATATTCTAGTTATAGGCATTGAGTTATAATGTACTACGTACTAGAGAAGCTATTCCAAACAAAAATTGTGCGCTACTCCATGTCTTCGCGCATGCGCGTTAATAGTAGAGTCGCGCATGCACAGTTGGTATAAACGCGCATTGCGCTTGCGCGGCCAGTTTTTGTTATTATAGATTATACGTAAGTAGAATGGTCAGTATGTAATAATTGTTTATTTATATTGTATTGTTAATTATATCGAGTACAATTTTTTAAATTGTTTTTTATTTTGTATATGTGCTAATTTAATATAATATTACATAATATTATGTCAGAATTACATTTTAATGATATTTTTATCTGAATATTTTAAAAGGTATCTATGTCAAATATAAAAAAACATACTAAATGTATGTTTAACAAAACTTATTAACATAAAATTTAAATTACAAATATATTTATTTAAATTAGAATCATAAATGTTGTAAATAATCGTTCATAAATGCTGAGCACGCGAGAGATAAAAATGGACGAATTTATTCCACTTTGACTTTAAATCTGCTTATTATTCTTTCATTTTATTTTTAGGTTTCCACTTCAAACAGGAAAAAAAATGTGTGTAGTATAATAATGTATTCGTCGTAAACTTAAAAAAAGAGAAATCAGTTACACCCTATTTAAACTCCTGCCACAATCCGCAAGAAGCATATAACATTCTATCAAGCAGTAATAATTACGGAGATTTGGATTGTTTGTACTTATTCTCAAAAATGTACAATCAAAATATTTGTGTACATTATTGTTTTTACAACATAACTACAACGAATGAAGACACTATCTTTTGTCATTTTAAAGCGATTGATGCACAAAACTGGATTCATCTTCATCTTCGTGAACAACATTTCACACCTTTTTATAAAGTATCAGTTTTATTGGAGACAGTACAAGACGCTACCCAAAATGAAGCCCATGTTGATGCCAATATTGAACTATTGCGTGATAATTATGATGAAAATCCTACCGAAGATAACCATAACAATCATGAAAATGAAATTGAGATTGATAGAGAAGATCGAATTGGTGAAAATACTATGGATTTTATTATTGATGATGGTACTATTCCAGTTTATACAAATTATCGTAAACACAGTACAAGTCATATTAATTTTTATAAAGAATTTACGAGTAATTCATTCGGTCATTCTTGTATTATTTGCGACAGACTATGGTGGAAAGGAGATTTGAAAAAGTCGACCAGTAAACATGAAAGTATTTTGAAAACAATACTGACTGTTGAAGTTAATACAATGGTGAAACAATTGCCAAGAAACATTGAAGATGACCATTGCTTTTATGTGCATTTGAAAAAGGAGTTGATTCACAAAACTAGTTATGTACACGGGCTTATAAATAAGAGCCATATTAAAGAGTGGTTGTCGTATTTAGTATCTACGCCTCTTTATATTTATCATGACATTAAAATCGATGAATCTTTTTTTTCCGGCAATGAACGTACTTCGCAGTTGAATATGGATGAAATAAGTGAACATGTGCCAATTGAAGACAATTTAGTTGCGCAGCAACAAACTCTTTTGTGGAATGATGATTATTTTTTGAGTATAGCACCCGGTGAATATAACAGGCCAATCAGTATTTTAATGGATGAACATGCGGAAGAACTATCTTTTCCGACAATCTACGGCGGTCAGTTTCGAACATACAGAGATGGTGTTGTTGTTACTCCATTCATGCAAGCTACCAGCGAACTTCGGCGTACTGATAGGCGTGCTACTGACCCACAACACCTTTTTTACATCGCTGCTAAAATCATGAGGTTGAGAGTTATTAAATGTGTCAACGTTGCGTTTAAGCATGTTGGACAAGGTACTTCAATTACGAAAGAGACCATTCAATCTGAAGAATATATAAATAATTGTTTAGAAACAAATCTCGCATTTCTTCGCTGCATACCAAATTCTGCTTGGTTTTGGTCAGATCGCAAAAAAGATGTTTTTGCAATGATTAGGCAATTAGGGCCACCAACTGCTTTTATGACTCTCAGCGCCAATGAAACTGGCTGGGAAAATATGTTGAAATTATTGTACAAATTGAAAAACGAGGGAACGGAACTTTCAGATGAGTTTTAAGCTATTGCATAGCTTCTATTGCGGGCCTTGAGTGCGGGAAAATCCAGAAATTCCGTAACGGAAAAAACCTCACGCTCTCCGACGGGCACGGAGGTGTGGCTTGAAGGCCGTGTATTGTCTAACGATGGTCTAACGTCGTTTCTTTTCCTCAGTCTTTTGCCAGCCATTTGAACTTAAAGACAATTAATTGGACAATAAATAATAAGTGACAAATCTTGCCGTGGAGCGTGGAACTGAGTAGTTGCGCGTCTTGTTAATATAATTGCCGTACGGCCGCCCTGACGTATGTACTGCGCGAACCTGAGTTTTTTGCGACGCGGTCCGGTGATACAGTATTTTTCACAAATAGTGAGTTCGTTATAACGCGGGTTCGGTTAAATCTGGTTGAATTTGATTGGATTAACCTAAGTAACTTGAATTAATATTAAAGAAAAAGAAATACTGCATAAAAAAAAATTATAATTGCATAAGTTGATACAAAATGCTATGCAATAGCTTTACCGCAGCAGTCCCCGAGTGCCACACGTCTTTTTTTTATACAACCCAATATATGTAAATAGAATTAAACATTATAACGTTTTATTTAATCGTTAGTGGCCTTTGATAGGCTGTGATGAAAGACTTATTGAAAGTAAAGTTATTTTTGTAAAAAGTTTACTAATAACGCTATTCATATTGCTATACTTCTGTTAATTACTTCAAATTAACCTAAGATACTCGTGTTGGGAGTGGTTCACGTTTGAATGGCGGATTTGAACTCACGACTTGCGATGCGCATTCTTAACTATAAGGCTATCGTTATTCTTAAAATTATTATGTTCTTATACTTGTTATATTGTGTTATATTTAACCTTAAATGTATTAATATAAACAAAGGAAAGTTACCGAAGTGTGGAAGCGATCCCTAATAAGCGTTCAAAGGGGACTTGTCAGTAATCAATGTCATCTTAAACGTGAAGAGAACAGAAAGGGGGCGAGTGAGCGAGACAGAAACGTTACACGATGCGTGTTACATTTACATAGTCCTTTGATTGTCTTGTTAGTCTAAAGTATTTAAGCGTAACTGCTTATCATGTGGTTCTGGGATTGAATCCCGAGTCGAGCCAAAATCAGTTCGGGAGTTATTCTGTAAAGAAATTTTCAGTAGCAGCTGGAGTAGGAAAGTTAGCGGTGTTTCACCCTCGTGCCTCGGAAAGCACGTAGGCGTTGAGCATGTGCCAGATCTCTCTCTGTTCGTGTCGATTTGTCGCACGTCTAACTGTGAGAGTGGGAGAATAGAGTGCACCTGTGTTTTCGTACACACTAGTCCTAATTCTAATCCTATATACTAATTGTCCACTACTGGACAAAAACCTCTTCCGTCGTGCGAAGGATATTTACCTAAATCGTTGCACTGAACAGGTAGATTGACGACCGCTTTGTAAGACGTTTCGCATGTTTACCGTTGTCACTCGTCGCCAGTCTGGGTATTTTACGACTGATGTAAAAGATTTTATTATACTGCCATCTATGGGAAGTCATAAGATGCTTCTTAAGCTTTCTGGCATACGTCATAGTCACCACTTATGTTACTCACAGAACGTAATGGGTGAATGAATGGAATTTTTTCTAATATTATATTTTTTATATTTTAATAGAAATTAAAAAAAGTTAGAATTACAGCCTATGTAACTCCACTTCTGGGCACAGGCTACTAAGATGTAAAACCTCATTTCCGCGATAAGGGGCCTCCTGTTCTCTACAATCACCATACAAAATACAGCAAGCAACATTAAGCTGCTATTTCACGCTGGTATTCCGTGAAATTGTGGTCCTTCCCTGGTCCAGCCGACCCATTTGAGTTACTACTACCGTATAACTGCTGCGTGGATTTACCTTGTATAAGTAGTTATATTGTGTGTAAGTTAAAGTTAAAGTTACAGCCTATATACGTCTCACAGCTGGGCACAGGCCTCCTCTCATTTCTCAGAGACTGCGTGTTGGCGAAATTCTTCGTAATATATTTTTTATTTTTCAGACGTGCAGGTTTCTTCACAATATTTTCCTTAACTGTCGAGCACGTGGTAAATCAGCACTTAAAATTGCAATTAACAATTTCATTAGTGACGGCAGGGATCGAACACCATTATTTTTATAAAATACAAATGGGTGACAAACGAGCACACAGTCCACCTGAGAGTAAATGGATGCTATGGCCCATAGCCACCTGCATTTATCCTACATTTACTACGTACTCGGGAAGGAAGAAAATCAGCCAAAAGGAATCTGTCTAATGTATAATGGAACCCGAACCAAGTCCGAAAAATAAAATGTTTAGAAACACCTACTAAAGTACCGGGATATACTAATTGCCGAGTACTAGAGCGTATTTATTTTGCAACTTCATGAACCATCAAGCAGTTTGCTAACTTACCTGTCACGAAGACTAGCCAAGACAGGACTAAAGTGTTTCTCTCAATCAATAAATTATTTTTTGGTCCAGCTCGAGTCTTGAACCCGGCATGTTTGCGACCACTCGATCAGCGAGGCAGTAAATGTATTCGAAAGCTGTATAAACGTCATCATTTTGGAGTTGTAACACGCGAAATTCTCACTCGATCTTCTGCTACCACACTCCATTCCCTCTTCGTAAATCGCGTTTTGACTTTATTACATTTACTCAGTCGCGTGTACTTTGTAATATATTACATATCATACGTTTTAGAGATAACTCGATAATTTTAAATCACTCGATTGCCAAACTTTGAGATGCAGTAGTTTTTTTTTATAAAAGAAAGGTAGCAAATAACCACACAATCCATCAGACGTTAAGTGGATGCTGTTGTCCATAGGCACCTACATCTATCCTCGATTTAGATGTATGCTTCGTTTACAGTATAAAAAGGTATCTGGTTCTCTTCACCCACCACATGAAACACATCAGCGTCAAACTGCTATTGCATGCTGATATTTTGTGAGAGCGTGGTTTTTTCTTATTTTATAGAATAAGCGTGACACGTGATCCTTCCCAGGTTGAGCCCATTCATGCTACAAACATAATATAACTGCTACGTGACTCTACCACGTATGTTTATCAGACTTCAAGACACAGTAAGATCATTCTGCGTAGATCGGACCATAAATAATAATTAAAAAGCTGAAGGTACTCCGGGCTAACACTGACATCGGGAGATCAGTCACCTCAGTCCCCCGTGACCGTGATTGATGTGAACCTGATCCGTGAACGTGATAAGTCTGACTGAATGTATTTTCCAGGAAACTGAACTACGTAGGATTGAAGTTCGTTGACCTATTAGATTCCAGACGCTGCAAATGTAAAGAGATCGGATCCTCTATGCAGCATCGCCTTCTTCCATGAAATGCAGGACATCTCCCGACGTACTTTTGTCCAAACCGAAGATGTTGAGCAGTATGGTGGGCTCCACAATACGCAGATTTGTACTTGCGTCTATTTTGGCGGTCTCACGCTGGTTCGTCAACCGACGTCTCTTCTCAACAAGAGTTAACCCGTCATTATCTCTCTTCTTTCGGGTCACCACAGGAACTGATTTTATATCCACATTCTTTCGTTTTCGACCACAAAAGGGTGCCACAACTTTCGACTCTTCAGCGCAGTAGTTAAGACCACCGCCGCGCGCAACGCGCCAAGAGTTCTGAATTCCGTACGGATCAAATATTTCCATGACCTAAGATTATATGTTAAAACATCTCCACGATGTAGGAAATGGGTAACGACAGTAAAACATTCATATACGCTATGTTATAGGATCTAAAAATGTACCATGTTTTATGCAAATAAATATTTATTATTATTATTGAGCAAACCTATCCTTCACCTCCCTTATCTCTTTCCCAAAGGTAGCGTGAAGTTCCTTCATGAGGAGCATCTGCGTTTCCAACCAACGGACCTGTTCCTCTTGTCCTTTCCGCAGCTGCTCTTCCAATCGGCGGGCCTGTTCCACCTACTGATCTTCCAACTGACGGGCCTGTTCCTCCTGTCCACGTTGCAGCTGATCTTCCAACCGATGGACCTGTTGCTCTTGTCGGCGGGCCTGTTCCTCCTGTCGGTGGGTCTGTTTTTCCTGTCGGTGGGCCTGTTCCTCCTGCTGCTCTTTCAACCAATGGGCCTTTTCCTTCTGTCGGCGGGCCTGTTTCTCCTGCACCGGTCTTGTCCGAGCGTCAACGCACACTCCAGATCGGAAGAGGCCGAAGTCTGCCACTTTCAATATTCCTGCACTATCCACAAATATATTGCGGGCTGCCAGATCCTTGCAGACGAAAATTATATAATTTATTTTAAACGTTAACCTTCTATGATAAATAGTAAAGTAAATTTATAACCTATCTACGTGTGCCACCACTGGGCACAGGCCTCCTCTCACTTCCTTCCAGAGGCAGAGGTTTGAGGCAAAGAAACCTCACGATGTTCTTCTGTACCACTGAGCACATTGTAAACCAGCACTTAAAATTGCAATTAATTGTTTCATTGTTGCCGGCGGGGATCGAATCCGGGTTGTTCGCGTACTATAAAATTTACGACGAGCGCTAACCACCTGAGCGTTACGTATGGTAAAGGACACATTTATATAAAATTCCTTGACAATAATTCCATATTTTTTTTTATATTAAGACCTATTTAGCTCAGTCAGCTCATATTACTGTACTATGTAGATGAAATATAAAGAACGAACACTCAACAGTACTGCACGTGGGGTCCCCCACTGGCAGATATCACTAATTGACCGGTAGCGGCTTCTTTTGTAATTTTTTGCTCCTCTCAAACCAGATGTCTTAAATATATAACACGGAGGTCCACTTGAACTGCGAGTGCAAAGAGTATTCTTTGTGCGGATTAAGTATTTAATGAACATAACTCATTTTTGGTTATTGATTTAATTATTTTATTATATTAACATTTGCCGCCCCTTTGCTAGCAAATGGTGGATTCAGTGCTCTATAAACTCTTAAAAAAGTAAAATCAACTACATAAGAACAAAAAT